AAAAGGTGTTTTGAGGCGCTTCATATAAAGAGCCCCATGGCGCCTGCCAGGAAGATGTAGTGCTGCAGGGGCGTGGGGCGGTAGTCCGTGTACACGATGTGGCACGGCTGCTGGTGCACCTGGTATCAATCAAAACACAAAGGTCATACACAAGGCAAGGGAAACGAAAAGGTGTTTTGAGGCGCTTCATATAAAGAGCCCCATGGCGCCTGCCAGGAAGATGTAGTGCTGCAGGGGCGTGGGGCGGTAGTCCGTGTACACGATGTGGCACGGCTGCTGGTGCACCTGGTATCAATCAAAACACAAAGGTCATACACAAGGCAAGGGAAACGAAAAGGTGTTTTGAGGCGCTTCATATAAAGAGCCCCATGGCGCCTGCCAGGAAGATGTAGTGCTGCAGGGGCGTGGGGCGGTAGTCCGTGTACACGATGTGGCACGGCTGCTGGTGCACCTGGTATCAATCAAAACACAAAGGTCATACACAAGGCAAGGGAAACGAAAAGGTGTTTTGAGGCGCTTCATATAAAGAGCCCCATGGCGCCTGCCAGGAAGATGTAGTGCTGCAGGGGCGTGGGGCGGTAGTCCGTGTACACGATGTGGCACGGCTGCTGGTGCACCTGGTATCAATCAAAACACAAAGGTCATACACAAGGCAAGGGAAACGAAAAGGTGTTTTGAGGCGCTTCATATAAAGAGCCCCATGGCGCCTGCCAGGAAGATGTAGTGCTGCAGGGGCGTGGGGCGGTAGTCCGTGTACACGATGTGGCACGGCTGCTGGTGCACCTGGTATCAATCAAAACACAAAGGTCATACACAAGGCAAGGGAAACGAAAAGGTGTTTTGAGGCGCTTCATATAAAGAGCCCCATGGCGCCTGCCAGGAAGATGTAGTGCTGCAGGGGCGTGGGGCGGTAGTCCGTGTACACGATGTGGCACGGCTGCTGGTGCACCTGGTATCAATCAAAACACAAAGGTCATACACAAGGCAAGGGAAACGAAAAGGTGTTTTGAGGCGCTTCATATAAAGAGCCCCATGGCGCCTGCCAGGAAGATGTAGTGCTGCAGGGGCGTGGGGCGGTAGTCCGTGTACACGATGTGGCACGGCTGCTGGTGCACCTGGTATCAATCAAAACACAAAGGTCATACACAAGGCAAGGGAAACGAAAAGGTGTTTTGAGGCGCTTCATATAAAGAGCCCCATGGCGCCTGCCAGGAAGATGTAGTGCTGCAGGGGCGTGGGGCGGTAGTCCGTGTACACGATGTGGCACGGCTGCTGGTGCACCTGGTATCAATCAAAACACAAAGGTCATACACAAGGCAAGGGAAACGAAAAGGTGTTTTGAGGCGCTTCATATAAAGAGCCCCATGGCGCCTGCCAGGAAGATGTAGTGCTGCAGGGGCGTGGGGCGGTAGTCCGTGTACACGATGTGGCACGGCTGCTGGTGCACCTGGTATCAATCAAAACACAAAGGTCATACACAAGGCAAGGGAAACGAAAAGGTGTTTTGAGGCGCTTCATATAAAGAGCCCCATGGCGCCTGCCAGGAAGATGTAGTGCTGCAGGGGCGTGGGGCGGTAGTCCGTGTACACGATGTGGCACGGCTGCTGGTGCACCTGGTATCAATCAAAACACAAAGGTCATACACAAGGCAAGGGAAACGAAAAGGTGTTTTGAGGCGCTTCATATAAAGAGCCCCATGGCGCCTGCCAGGAAGATGTAGTGCTGCAGGGGCGTGGGGCGGTAGTCCGTGTACACGATGTGGCACGGCTGCTGGTGCACCTGGTATCAATCAAAACACAAAGGTCATACACAAGGCAAGGGAAACGAAAAGGTGTTTTGAGGCGCTTCATATAAAGAGCCCCATGGCGCCTGCCAGGAAGATGTAGTGCTGCAGGGGCGTGGGGCGGTAGTCCGTGTACACGATGTGGCACGGCTGCTGGTGCACCTGGTATCAATCAAAACACAAAGGTCATACACAAGGCAAGGGAAACGAAAAGGTGTTTTGAGGCGCTTCATATAAAGAGCCCCATGGCGCCTGCCAGGAAGATGTAGTGCTGCAGGGGCGTGGGGCGGTAGTCCGTGTACACGATGTGGCACGGCTGCTGGTGCACCTGGTATCAATCAAAACACAAAGGTCATACACAAGGCAAGGGAAACGAAAAGGTGTTTTGAGGCGCTTCATATAAAGAGCCCCATGGCGCCTGCCAGGAAGATGTAGTGCTGCAGGGGCGTGGGGCGGTAGTCCGTGTACACGATGTGGCACGGCTGCTGGTGCACCTGGTATCAATCAAAACACAAAGGTCATACACAAGGCAAGGGAAACGAAAAGGTGTTTTGAGGCGCTTCATATAAAGAGCCCCATGGCGCCTGCCAGGAAGATGTAGTGCTGCAGGGGCGTGGGGCGGTAGTCCGTGTACACGATGTGGCACGGCTGCTGGTGCACCTGGTATCAATCAAAACACAAAGGTCATACACAAGGCAAGGGAAACGAAAAGGTGTTTTGAGGCGCTTCATATAAAGAGCCCCATGGCGCCTGCCAGGAAGATGTAGTGCTGCAGGGGCGTGGGGCGGTAGTCCGTGTACACGATGTGGCACGGCTGCTGGTGCACCTGGTATCAATCAAAACACAAAGGTCATACACAAGGCAAGGGAAACGAAAAGGTGTTTTGAGGCGCTTCATATAAAGAGCCCCATGGCGCCTGCCAGGAAGATGTAGTGCTGCAGGGGCGTGGGGCGGTAGTCCGTGTACACGATGTGGCACGGCTGCTGGTGCACCTGGTATCAATCAAAACACAAAGGTCATACACAAGGCAAGGGAAACGAAAAGGTGTTTTGAGGCGCTTCATATAAAGAGCCCCATGGCGCCTGCCAGGAAGATGTAGTGCTGCAGGGGCGTGGGGCGGTAGTCCGTGTACACGATGTGGCACGGCTGCTGGTGCACCTGGTATCAATCAAAACACAAAGGTCATACACAAGGCAAGGGAAACGAAAAGGTGTTTTGAGGCGCTTCATATAAAGAGCCCCATGGCGCCTGCCAGGAAGATGTAGTGCTGCAGGGGCGTGGGGCGGTAGTCCGTGTACACGATGTGGCACGGCTGCTGGTGCACCTGGTATCAATCAAAACACAAAGGTCATACACAAGGCAAGGGAAACGAAAAGGTGTTTTGAGGCGCTTCATATAAAGAGCCCCATGGCGCCTGCCAGGAAGATGTAGTGCTGCAGGGGCGTGGGGCGGTAGTCCGTGTACACGATGTGGCACGGCTGCTGGTGCACCTGGTATCAATCAAAACACAAAGGTCATACACAAGGCAAGGGAAACGAAAAGGTGTTTTGAGGCGCTTCATATAAAGAGCCCCATGGCGCCTGCCAGGAAGATGTAGTGCTGCAGGGGCGTGGGGCGGTAGTCCGTGTACACGATGTGGCACGGCTGCTGGTGCACCTGGTATCAATCAAAACACAAAGGTCATACACAAGGCAAGGGAAACGAAAAGGTGTTTTGAGGCGCTTCATATAAAGAGCCCCATGGCGCCTGCCAGGAAGATGTAGTGCTGCAGGGGCGTGGGGCGGTAGTCCGTGTACACGATGTGGCACGGCTGCTGGTGCACCTGGTATCAATCAAAACACAAAGGTCATACACAAGGCAAGGGAAACGAAAAGGTGTTTTGAGGCGCTTCATATAAAGAGCCCCATGGCGCCTGCCAGGAAGATGTAGTGCTGCAGGGGCGTGGGGCGGTAGTCCGTGTACACGATGTGGCACGGCTGCTGGTGCACCTGGTATCAATCAAAACACAAAGGTCATACACAAGGCAAGGGAAACGAAAAGGTGTTTTGAGGCGCTTCATATAAAGAGCCCCATGGCGCCTGCCAGGAAGATGTAGTGCTGCAGGGGCGTGGGGCGGTAGTCCGTGTACACGATGTGGCACGGCTGCTGGTGCACCTGGTATCAATCAAAACACAAAGGTCATACACAAGGCAAGGGAAACGAAAAGGTGTTTTGAGGCGCTTCATATAAAGAGCCCCATGGCGCCTGCCAGGAAGATGTAGTGCTGCAGGGGCGTGGGGCGGTAGTCCGTGTACACGATGTGGCACGGCTGCTGGTGCACCTGGTATCAATCAAAACACAAAGGTCATACACAAGGCAAGGGAAACGAAAAGGTGTTTTGAGGCGCTTCATATAAAGAGCCCCATGGCGCCTGCCAGGAAGATGTAGTGCTGCAGGGGCGTGGGGCGGTAGTCCGTGTACACGATGTGGCACGGCTGCTGGTGCACCTGGTATCAATCAAAACACAAAGGTCATACACAAGGCAAGGGAAACGAAAAGGTGTTTTGAGGCGCTTCATATAAAGAGCCCCATGGCGCCTGCCAGGAAGATGTAGTGCTGCAGGGGCGTGGGGCGGTAGTCCGTGTACACGATGTGGCACGGCTGCTGGTGCACCTGGTATCAATCAAAACACAAAGGTCATACACAAGGCAAGGGAAACGAAAAGGTGTTTTGAGGCGCTTCATATAAAGAGCCCCATGGCGCCTGCCAGGAAGATGTAGTGCTGCAGGGGCGTGGGGCGGTAGTCCGTGTACACGATGTGGCACGGCTGCTGGTGCACCTGGTATCAATCAAAACACAAAGGTCATACACAAGGCAAGGGAAACGAAAAGGTGTTTTGAGGCGCTTCATATAAAGAGCCCCATGGCGCCTGCCAGGAAGATGTAGTGCTGCAGGGGCGTGGGGCGGTAGTCCGTGTACACGATGTGGCACGGCTGCTGGTGCACCTGGTATCAATCAAAACACAAAGGTCATACACAAGGCAAGGGAAACGAAAAGGTGTTTTGAGGCGCTTCATATAAAGAGCCCCATGGCGCCTGCCAGGAAGATGTAGTGCTGCAGGGGCGTGGGGCGGTAGTCCGTGTACACGATGTGGCACGGCTGCTGGTGCACCTGGTATCAATCAAAACACAAAGGTCATACACAAGGCAAGGGAAACGAAAAGGTGTTTTGAGGCGCTTCATATAAAGAGCCCCATGGCGCCTGCCAGGAAGATGTAGTGCTGCAGGGGCGTGGGGCGGTAGTCCGTGTACACGATGTGGCACGGCTGCTGGTGCACCTGGTATCAATCAAAACACAAAGGTCATACACAAGGCAAGGGAAACGAAAAGGTGTTTTGAGGCGCTTCATATAAAGAGCCCCATGGCGCCTGCCAGGAAGATGTAGTGCTGCAGGGGCGTGGGGCGGTAGTCCGTGTATACGATGTGACAGGGTGGCACTTACTTCGTTACTGGTATGCACACAGACGGTCCAAGGTAATGCACCTCGTCGAAACACCTTTTGAGGGTTGCTGCTGCACCTGGTTACTGGTATGCACACAGACGGTCCAAGGCAGGAGCAAAGCAAAGGAAGGGAGGGAGCCACATCGTATACCATAATACAAGTAAGCCAGTAACCAGGTATGGTTTGTCAGCCCAAAGGAAGACAAAGCCAGACTTTTGAGAATTCTTAGAAGTCGCACCAGGAAGGGAGGGAGCCAAGGTGACTTTTGAGTCGACTCAAAAGTCACCTCGTTACAATGTCAGAAGTCGCACCAGGAAGGGAGGGAGCCAAGCCACATCGTATACCATAATACCAGTAAGCCAGTAACCAGGTATGGTTTGTCAGCCCAAAGGAAGGGAGCAAGACAAGGCCAGACGACTTGGGTTGGGATGGGAGCCACGACGATGCTCTCCTCCCACCCACACCACCCCTCGCTCCTTGTCCCTCACTCTCTCGACACGTGCTCTTCACCGCTCTCCACCACTGTGTACCGGTGCCAACCCTCCTTGTGCCACTCGAACGTACCTTAGCCACCCACTCAGCAAACTCCCTTGCGTTCGGCACGGTAGCGGAGGAAGACGAAGCGGGAGGACTTGGGAGCCATGACGATACTCTCCTCCCACACCACCCCTCGCTCCTTGTCCCTCAGGTAATGCACCTCGCCGAATATGATCCACCCCACCCACCTCGTACCTTACACCATTTTCCACCAGCTTTCACCGCTCTGCACCCAACTCCTTCCTCCTAATGATTTGCGTACCTTAGCCACCCACTCTGCGAATTCCCTTGCGTTGGGCACAGTGGCCGAGAGGAAGACGAAGCGTGACGATTTGGGAGCCATGACGATACTCTCCTCCCACACCACCCCTCGCTCCTTGTCCCTCAGGTAATGCACCTCGTCGAATATTATCCACCCCACCTCCCGCACGAAATCGGATCCTCGATACAGCATGCTGCGGAGAATTTCGGTTGTCATTACCTGCAGGAGGGAGGGGGTTGGGGCAATACAGAGTGAAGCAGAACGGTGGAGGTGGGTAGAGAGGAGCAGAATGGGGTGCTTGCTCCTTGTCCTCTCAGGCAATGCACCTCGTCTCACCTTGATCGGTGATGTGTACACACAACACGACACCCTGTCGTCACACTGCACCAGGCACGATGATATGACACGCAATGCAGCATTGTACCACCCACCACGTAGGTAGCGTTGGGGGCGATGGTGACATCGCCTGTCATGCCATGATATGAGCCCCACGTCCCCAAACTCCTGAGTCAGCACACTGTTGCGCTGTGTTTCTCATCGGACTCAGACCCTCGACAGGAGCAGCGACCATTCCACTCTCACCTCTAGCACCCTGCTTACCAGGCAGGTCGCATTGGGGGCGATGGTGACGTCGCCAGTCATGAGCCCCACGTCCCCAAACTCCTGACTCATCCCCTCCAACTCCCTGGCCTACATACATACATACCAAACCTGTTACTGTAGCACTCACCAGGCAGGTAGCGTTGGGGGCGATGGTGACGTCGCCAGTCATGAGCCCCACGTCCCCAAACTCCTGACTCATCTCGCGGAACTTCTGGTTGCTCAGCGCCTTGATGGGCGACGTGTACACGACTCGCTGGTTGTCCCGCATTGCCATGGCTATGGCGTATTCTGCCACCACTGTTTTTCCAGCAGACGTGTGTGCTGATACCTGAGAATAATGGGCAGAGGGAGTGAGGGAGTGAGGGAGTGGGAGGGCGTAGGAGGGAAGGAAATGAGGGGCGTCTGGTTGCTCAGAGCCTTGATGGGCGACGTGTACACGACGCGCTGGTTGTCCCGCATCGCCATGGCTATCGCGTACTCTGCTACCACTGTCTTGCCAGCAGATGTGTGCGCCGATACCTGTGGTGAGTGGGGGAGAGAAAGGGATGGAAGTGAAGGCTCTCTCTCATCACGACGCGCTGGTTGACCGTGCTACCACAGTCTTGCCTGCTGATGTGTGTGCTGAGACCTGACCAGAAGGATGGGGGAAGTGAAAGCGAAGGACGTGGAAGGGTCTCTCTCCTCATGACGCTCATGGGCAATTTCTCATGGCCATTGGCAATTGACGTGGGTGGCCACCTCATGGCCATGTCCATGTTCTGCCACCGTCTTCCCTGTCGATTTGTAGGGGTGGGCTTGGGGTGGGGAAGAGAGGGGGTTGATGAGGAGAGGGAAGGATAGGAAGGGGACGTCGTCGTATTGCGCCACGCAGTATATATTTTCCGCTCTAGACCCTAAATGCTCGGCGTCCTTGCTTCTCCAATTCGGATAACGGGCTCAGGGTTTTGTGCTCAGGATTCCAGGCGGGGATTAGGGTTTCCAAACAACGACTTAGGCCATATTCACGGTTCTGGTTTTTAGCTAGAATTTCCAATCAAGGTTTAAGCCTCAACATTCCACCCGGGGTTTCTGGGTTTAAGGTCGATGTCGTGCTTTTCTCACCAGCACGGATTCGTTGGCTTCCAAGCACCGCACGGCCTCTTCCTGAAACGGGTCCAGCTTAAACGGGTACTCCTTGGCGGGCTTCTCTGGCAGCGGTTTCCGAGCAGCTTCCTTGCTGGTAGGAAGCTTCCAGCCCTTGGGGTACGCAACTTCGTGCAGGCATCGCACGCCGCCACTGCCGCTGCCGCCCGTGTTGCCATCCTCAAACTCCTCGTTGCGAAGGACCAGTCCCGTCATTTCCTCCTCATAGCCATCACCCGCGCCGGCCTCGCCCCCTCCTGCCGTGCCGGCCGCGCCGGCAGCTGCCGAGCCAGCGGCCAGCCCAGCGCCGTCTGCGGCGTCGCCGTCGCTGCCGCCGGAGAGATCGGCGTGGTCCTTGTCGGTCGAGGCGCGCTGCTTCCACGTGTCGTCATCGGCGCGTAGCGAGCTCTTCGCCGCTCCGTCTGCGGCTGTAGCCGAGGGTTTCGGCTTCTTGGAAGACTTTACCGACGGCGAGTCTGTTTTCGCCTTTTTCTTGGAAGGTTTGGGGGATTTAGCGCGCTTTTCTTCCGAACGCTTCATTCTGAACCTTTAGGAGCACGGATGGGTGGCGTGAAGGTAAACTCTTCTACGCTGCAAAACCGCGAATCACGTGAGAACAAGGAGACTAGCCGGAAAACGCGGAAGCGGTGCTGTTGTGAAGGCAGAGTTGTGATTGCTGAGTGCACTAGCAGACGAGCGAGTGAACAGCGAAGGGGACAAGTGCAGTTGGGCTCGCACTTGGTGTTCGGTGCGTTTTAGTGCGGTGAGTGAATCTGAAATTCATTACATTTGTAGTATTAGAGTCTATTCTAATTTGAATGTGCCATGTCATTGTCAACATACCATCACCTCTGATAACATCTGCACCAGACAGACTGCATAAAGAACACGGAATATGTATGTTGAGAAAATCAACAGAACGTACCGTAAATGTAGAATAAATTTGTGCACGTACCGTACATGGAAACACAAATGTAACCAACAAAATGTGTGACCCCGTACTATCTGCGTCTGCGCATGACAACGCCCATGTCTGCTTTTAGCGAAAGCATGACAGATTCCAAAAGAGCCTCGTCGGAGGAAAGGTGCTTGTCGTATATTCGTAGACACTCCTGCTGCCGCCGCTGTATGGCCAGCTGGATGGGATGAAAGAAGGGGGCAATCATGGAGCGGAGATTTATGCATGCATGCACATGGAACAGGATAGAAGATCCATACTGGATGAGAGACAGACACTAAAACACAAGTACTGGGATACAGTACGGGGGTTGGGAGACGAATTTTGAGGCAAATTAAAGATACTAAAACACAACTGGGATACAGCATTGGGCCGCCTCATCTATGACCAATGGAAATGCATACCTATCCACAACCTGTAAGGATCAGCAGACAATCCACATGGTTCATCCATCAATACATACCTCACCTCATCCATTCCATACCCCATCCACAACACACCTCAACCCTGGCTCTTAGGGTGGGCAAGATTCAGTGCATCTGGTCAGTGGGGAAGCGCAGCAGACAGGCAGTGGTGCTACATGCCTCATCCATGACTCATGACCCATTCCCCACCCACATCCAATCAGCACACACCTCATCCATGGCTCGGAGGGTGGGCAGGATTCGGTGCATCTGGTCCGTGGGGAAGCGCAGCAGGCAGTGATGCCACGAGATGATGTCGTCGAATGGTAACCGCCAGTTGTCCGCCACCACCACGGGGATCGCTCCCACTGTTAGCGCCTGGTGTGTGGGTGAATATGCATTGGGTGTGTGAGACATGCAGTGCAAAGGGGAATGGTAACCGCCAATTGTCCGCCACCACCACTGGGATGGCTCCCACTGTTAACGCCTGGTGTGTGGGTGTGCATGTGCAGTGGGGCACAATGGGTGTCTGAGACATGCAGTGCAAAGGAGAATGGCATCGCCAGTTGTCCGCCACCACCACAGGGATAGCCCCCACTGTTAGCGCCTGGCATGGGCATGTGCATGTGCAGTGAGTGGGGCACAATGGGTGTGTGAGGGATGCAGTACAAAGGAGAATGGCATCGCCAGTTGTCCGCCACCACCACAGGAATGTTAGCGCCTGCACCATGGGGCATGAGCCATGGGGTATGTGATGTGGTTTGTGATGTGGTATGTGATGTGGTATGTGATGTGGTATGTGATGGGGTATGTGATGTGGTATGTGATGGGGTATGTGATGTGGTATGTGGTATGTGATGTGGTATGTGATGTGGTATGTGATGTGGATTGTGATGTGGTATGTGATGTGGGATGAGATATGGAAGTTATGCCATGCGATGATGTCATCGAATCGAATGGTAACCGCCAGTTGTCCGCCACCACCACTGGAATAGCTCCCACTGTCAACGCCTGGCGTTTGCATTGGAACATGGATGCGGTAAGGAAGTGTGATAGCTGTCAGTCAGACGCAGAGTGAGAGTAAACGTGGTGCCATGACGTCAGCAGCAAACATCAGCACATATTAGCGCATATCAATACACATATCACATCGCAACCGCAATGCCAGTGATGGTTACACGCCTCCAGGACCTGTACGCAGACGCTTGTCTGCTCGCTGGCACGAGGGTGAAGGTGGTCGGTGGTGGTGGTGAAGGTGGTGGTGGTGAAGGTGGTGGTGGTGAAGGTGGTGTTCATGGCGTCAGCACACGCACACACACACGCACACACACACGCACGCACGCACGCACGCGCGCGCGCGCACACACACACACACACACCACTTCAGCACATATCACATCGCTACCGCATCACCGGCAACAGGTACGCACCTCCAGGAACCTGTAGGTGGACCCTTGTCGGCCGGCCGGAGCAAGGGTGAAGGTGGTGTTCATGACGTCACCAAAGTCGTACTGAGTGTACAGCTTGGCATCCTCGTCACACTCGGGCTTCAAGGAAGGTTCCTCTGCGAGAATGCGCGCATTGGTAGATCCCCTGGTGGAGGGGAGAAAGGGGGGTGGATACCAAAAAGTTGAGAGGGGTGGTACACTTTTGTTTGTTTGTTTGGTTTTTTTTTTTTTTCGAAACTCTTTTGCAGAGGTAAGAGGGGCGGGTTGCAGACAGTTGAGGCAGTCGTTCTTACCTAAAAGCACCAGTAAGCAGCTGGAAGCACCAGGAACAAGCGAGCTTGCCAGGTGGACCAAATTAGTACAGGAATCTCCAATACTGCCACACGTAGTCAGCATAAGCACATCTCTCTGCAACTACACTCACAGAACAGCCTGTGACATTGGGGTAAAAGCACATGTTACCCTCAAGTTTGAGGGGTTTACCTTTGCCTGGACTGGAACCATATTGTTGGGTAAACTCGGAACTTACCCGCATCTTGTCAGCACAACCACATCCTTGCCGTTGTGCAACGCCTTAAACTCCGGGGCACTCCGGAAATTACCCTTCAAATTCCCCAGGTAACGCGTGCCTCGGAACGTCAGGAAATATTTCCGGGCAGATCCGGCGGGCAGGTTCCGGAGCTCAACAGGCGGGTTTTTCCACATTTGGGGCAGCGGGATGGAGGTGTCGAAATCTGTTCTCATAATAGTGGCCTGTGCGTTGGTGACCATAACCATTGCCGAGGCGACTCCAAAAGGGGATGGACCGCTCCAAGAGTCTGAGAAGCTATGTGAGGGAAGAGAGGAAGGGGAGGAAAGGGAGGAGAGGAGAGAGATAAGTGCAGGAAACCAACATGTGGAGTGGAAAACAACCATAACCATTGCCGAGGCGACTCCAAAAGGGGGTGGCCCGCTCCAAGAGTCTGAGAAGCTATGTGAGGGAAGGAGAGGGGAAGAGAGGAACAGGAGGAAATAGACGGTAGGAAATGAGGAAAGCAAGGGAGTGAATATAACAGGAGGTGAATGTTCCTCTGAAAGGGGATGGACCGCTCTTGGAGTCTGAGAAGCTATGTGAGCGGAGAGGAGGAACGGGCGTAAGGGAGGGAGGGGGGGAAATCAGGGGGAACGGAGAGAGAATATAACAGGAGAGAGGAATGGGACTCCACCAAAAGAGATGGCTCGCTCCAAGAGTCTGAGAAGCTACATGACGAAACGAGACAAACGGGAGGAAATGGAAGGGAGAAAATGAGGGAAATGGAGAGAACATTGCCGAAGTGAAAGGAGTGGAAGGGCACAATAAAAGACCGAGATGGTCAAATAGTTTCAACTTTTAGATCACTTTTAGAGGCACCTGGTCGATAACACACACTTATATTGACCACATTCCTTATCACAACTCTCTTTATAACCACACACCTGATAAGCACGTGGTTAGCGCCGTTCTCCCCCCAATGCTCCAAATCCGCAAACTCGTTCGGCTGTCCTCTCGCCATATGCACAAAGAAAAAGCACGCCTTGGTGGGATCGTCTGTGTGCCAGCGGCTCTCATTGAACCTCTTGAAGTAGTGCTGGCCGGGCCAGTAGGAGTAGACTAGAGGCTCGTGAGAGGGGTCTGCGGGGCAGCGCAAGTAGTTGAAGCATGCATCCATGGAGCAAAAAGGGAAGACGCCCATACTGTGAAAATAACGGCCGCTCGCATGCCACAGGCTGTGCTGCAAGGAGAAGAAGGGAGCAGGCAGGGTAAGGGAATGGGAAGAGAAGCAAGAGGGGAAGAAGAGGGATCGTCTGTGTGCCAGCGGCTCTCATTGAACCTCTTGAAGTAGTGCTGGCCGGGCCAATAGGAGTAGACCAGGGGCTCCTTTGAGCAGTCTGCGGGGCAGCGCGAGTAGCTGAAGCATGCGTCCATGGAGCAGAATGGGAAGACTCCCATTGAGTGGAAGTAGCGCCCACTGGCGTGCCACAGGCTGTGCTGCAGTGGGAGGGGAAGGGTTTGGGGGTAGGGGGAAGACACGAGTGAAACAGGGAGTAGTTGAAGCATGCATCCATGGAGCAGAGGGGAAAGACTCCCATACTGCGGAAATAGCGCCCACTGGCGTGCCACAGGCTGTGCTGCAGTGCGTGGGGAAGGATTTGGACGACGGGGGAAAGAGAGGGAGAGAAGCATGCATCCATCGAGCAGAAAGGGAAGACGCCCATACTGTGGTAGTAGCGCCCACTCGCATGCCACAGGCTGCGCTGCAAGGGGCAGGGGGGATGCGGGGACAGGGGAGCAGCGAGTAGTTGAAGCATGCATTCATGGAAGTAGCGATTGCAACAATGATTACCGTACCAATGATTACCGTACCAATGATTACCGTACCAATGATTACCGTACCAATGATTACCGTACCAATGATTACCGTACCAATGATTACCGTACCAATGATTACCGTACCAATGATTACCGTACCAATGATTACCGTACCAATGATTACCGTACCAATGATTACCGTACCAATGATTACCGTACCAATGATTACCGTACCAATGATTACCGTACCAATGATTACCGTACCAATGATTACCGTACCAATGATTACCGTACCAATGATTACCGTAATAATGCTTACTGTACCTATGATTACCGTACCAATGCTTACTGTACCAATGATTACTGTGATGCTTACTGTACCAATGTTTACCATACCAATAGTTACCGTACCAATGCTTACCATACCAATGCTTACCGTACCAATGCTTACCGTACCAATGCTTACCGTACCAATGCTTACCGTACCAATGCTTACCGTACCACTGGTTACCTTGACAATGGTTTCAGATGGGGGACACTTCTCCGGAGTTTCTGGTGGCTGATTCTCATCCATTTCCTCCTGGTCCCCCGGCCCTGCTGCTGCTCCTCCTCCCCCTGATCCATCTCCTGCCTCTCCTCTTCCCCCTTCACTGGCGCCGTTGACCTGCTGTGGCCCCTGTTGACTCGGTTGACTTGCGCTGAAGTTGCCAAGCACTCCCTCCTGCTGCAGCTGCCGCTGGTGCTGCTGGAAGGGGGAAGAAGGCGAGAGGGAGTGGGGGAGGAAGATTGAGGTGGGATGGAAGGGATGGGTGGGACTGCGTTGACCTGCTGTTGCCCCTGTTGACTCAGTTGACTTGCGCTGAAGTTTCCATTTACCCCCTCCTGTTGCTCCTGCTGCAACTGCCGCTGGTGCTGCTGGAATGTGGAGTAGCGGGGGGGGGGAAAGGAAGGGATGGTGGAGAAGAGAGGGGGAGAGGAGAGAGGGAAGGTAGGGATGGAGGAGAGAGCGCGAGAGGACGGATGGAAGGAATAGGAGGAGAGAGTGGAAGAGGAGGGATAAAAGGAATAGGAGGAGAGAGTGGGAGAGGACGGATGGAAGGAATAGGAGGAGAGAGCGGGAGAGGAGGGTTGGAAGGAATAGGAGGAGAGAGCGGGAGAGGAGGGTTGGAAGGAATAGGAGAGCGTGGGAGAGGAGGGATGAAAGGAATGGTGCAGAGAGTGGGAGAGGAGGAATAGAGGGGATAGGAGGGGTAGAGAGTGGGATGAGTAGGAATGGAGGGAATAGGAGGGGGGAGAGTGTGAAAGGAGGCAATGTGAGGTGTCTCAGAATTATCACCGACCAATTACCCAAGGGAGCATTGGCCTGTCATGTGATTCGTTTCATGGATGGATCGCAAGGAGGCTGGGCAGAAACGAAGTAGGCATGGAGAGGGGAGAGAGGGCGCATAAGCAAGCAACCAATCAGAAGGCGCGATCCGCTGACCTTGTTTCGCCAAGGTGTAACCACAGGGGTTTGCCCCCCTCTACCTTGGTTTCGTCGATGGATCGCGACGAGGCGGGGCAGAACGCGAAGAATGAAGCGGCAGCGGAAGCCACGAGCAGCAGCGACACGGTGAAGAGCACCACAATGCGGTTCGCGCCGAACGCGCCGCCGCTGCCGCCGCCTCGCGCGCTGATTAGCACCGCGCGGCTCATGACTGGCTACAGACGCGTGTGTGCTACGATTCCTTGGGCTGCAAACACGCGTGCTACAAGTGCGTGTGCGACAACCACGTGTCCTACAGACGCGCCTCTGCTACAAATTCCTGTGCTACAAATGATACAGTAGATAGAAACTACAGAAGCAGTTGCGTTAAATCACGTGCTAATTTTGAGCCATCTCAAAACGCGTCTTGCCTAAAGCCGTGCATTTCATTGAATCGAATTCCTCCCGTCCAGATCAGCCCACCCCGGTCCACGTCAACATAAATCCATCGAAAATGTGTGGCGTCCAGTCCTCGCCTGCTGCTCTTCCCAACTCATGGCCATTGCGAGGCTGTAGTATATTCGCGGGTTTTAGCGCAATCCACGAGAACAGCTCATTCACAGAAGGAGTAATTGGACAAGCGCCATCGCCGTCCTGGCGTTTAGCTGCGCTGTGTCTGCTTTGTGGGCCTTGAAATTGCCGAAGGCGGGCTGCTGGGACTCCCAACCAACCCACCATCTCCAAGCCAACAACGTGGCACTTCGTAAGGATTTGGGGCTCGTGTCAGAAATCAGGTCGGCACTGCTGATCTGAAAGCGAACCGAAGTGCAGGGCTCGGATGACACGAGATCCGAATCCCTTCGAATTGCAAATAGCTGGAGTGGTTTGAGTTTCACTCCGACGCCACAGAGAGGTGGTGGACTTCAAGTGGAAGCACGCCCGTAACGATTGTATTCTTCTATATAGGGAAGACGCGTTTTGAGGCAGGCAGAGTAATAATTTCCCTACACTAGTACGCCTTCTCCACAACTCAGGTACGGTATATGACTCTCAACATTCTGAATAAATGTTTCTTGTTTCTCTAGAAGAAAAATCTCTTGGGTTTAGATGCTACAGGTCCTGCCACATCATGGACAGAAATGAAGGGGCACGAATAAAACACAGAAACAGAAAGGGTCAAATCAGACAGCAATTGGCCACCTTACGTACATACACACACAGGCATAAGGATGGGCACACCCACACAACCCACCCTCCCACGCCCCCCTTCCCCAGCACACATGCAGGCATTCATCAAGATCCCACGATTCTAAGAACAAAATCCGAATGGAGACAGGGTAGGGATACAACAACATAGCTTTGACAAGGGTGGTGACAAAAAAAATGAACAGACAGGTGAGGGACAGGAGGGAGGGAGGGGGGGAGGGAGGAGGAGGAGGAGGAGGAGGAGGAGGAGGAGGAGGAGGAGGAGGAGGAGGAGGAGGAGGAGGAAAGGGAGGGAGTTTGACCATGCCATATCAATCAGTTGCAATGCCATACCATGCTACGCCATAACACGCCATGCCATAAATCGCCATGACATAAATGCCATAAGCCGCGATGCCTGTAACCTACCTGCTGAAGGCTCACTGCCCGTTATTCCACCTTCCCCCTCACCCCCACTCGATCCCGCCTCTGTCTGCTTCTGCTGCTGCTTTCCTTCATCTTCCCCTGCTGTCTCCTCCCCGTCCCCCGCTTCTCCCTTTTCTCTCTGCTCTTCCCCATCCTCTCCCTCTCCCACTCGTTCCCCCCCGCCTTGTTCCCCCGCTTGCCCTTCCCCCTCGTCCTGCCCCGCCAACGCCCTGACCCTCTCCGCCAGCCCCCATCCCGCCTTCCCCGCCTCTCTCCGCATTTCCACGCGCAACCGCCTTAACTCTCCGCGGATCTCCGCCTCCGCCCTGCGCGCAGCTTCCGCCGAGCGCCGCTCTGCTTCCAGAAGATCCGCCTGCACATGCGACTCCGTAAGGGCTTCCGCCAGCGCCCTTTGCGCTTCCCCCAGCGCGCGTCGTTGCGCGGAGAGGTTGAGCGCGAGCACGCAGCAGGACGCGGCGAGAACCATTCCCCCCAGCGACTCCCGCCGGGCCCACACGCGCTGGCGGAACGACATCCGCGCGTGCGGTGGTGGAGGGAAGATGGCGGAAGGGTGTGGGGAGATTCAAGGGGACTTTTATAGGGGGAAGGCGGGGCCCGCGGGCCGCAGGCACAGGGTGCAAGGCGGCGTCCGCAGGTTCCGAAAAACGGCGGCGTCCGCAGGTTCCCCAGAAAGTCGGCTTTCGCAAGCGAAGGATAAGAGTGGATTGGTTTGAAAGGGCGGTACACTCAGGCGCGCGGAACTAATGCGCTTCGGTGGCGACCCGCAGACACCTATACCCCCCACAGGCGGAGCGGCACGGGCGCGGAAGGTATAGGTGGTTTGATCAGAGGAGAGTGGGTGCGGGATTTGAGATAGGGCTGAGCTGAGGGGTTGTGGGGGAGGAGATGTGAAGGGCTTTTACGGTTAGTGGACGCATTGTCCTCGGTTCGAGAACCTCGCTGTAATTCCTTCGCTGCAACCCTTACACTCATAATTTATATGACATACAGAAAGCGAGGATTTCTACTGTTGCACAACTTTTTTGAGTGTTTTAAGATAAATCAGGCATGTAAGCATGCACAGTAGCACCACTGGGCCAGACAATGTAATCGTCACATAAAATCATCCTCGACGTCCTGTACACTTTTCCCTTCCATCTTTGCGGCAATATCTTTATTTGACGTCATTTTCTTCTCCACCATTATGCCCTTGTAACTCCGTAACTCCGCCTGCCGCTGCTTCAGAGCTTTCTCCTCCTGCTCTCGCCGAGCCTGATACAAAAATCCACAAGACAATGGTCGCAATAAAAACAATTAGTTTGTGATGTACGCATGAAGCTCACTAACAATAACAAGTCAGCTCAAATCTCTATAGTAGGTACGAGAAAGCATAAACTGATGGTACAAAAGGTGGCATGAAGGTACACAAACCACAAAAACATCCGCTCTCACCTGTTCCCTCAGAACTGCTTTCCTTGCTGCTCGATCCTCAGCCTCGCGAGCTTCCTTTTCAGCTGCACGCACACAGACCAAAGCCACCCAGTGGAGCAGACACAGCGCAGCTAAGCGGGAACAAAAGACGTGGATTCTATTGAGCATGCAGCTTATGCATACTGCAACCTCCAAACGTTGATAATTGGGAAGAGATGGCTGCGGATTAGCTTCCACACAAAGGGTAAGGCGCTCAAAAGGTCGTGCATACACCTTAACACACCTCCTTCAGTCAGACCACTTGAACACGCCGTATCATGATCAACATTTTGCAGTGGTCAACCTGACAAAACAAAAGTTGTCCGTCTGCGAAACCCGGCGAAATCCCCCCCCTGCACTACACCCACTTCCATGCACCTTGCAGATCCGCGTGCGCTCAGCCTTGGCCTTGTTAAGCTGGTTTACCACCTCATGGGAACCATTTCAACCCATTTAAACCCAGTTCTCAACACCTCAGCACCTCTTTCAACCCACCTTGCAAGCTCCTGCGTGCGCTCATCTTGTTCAGCCGGTTCACCACCTCATGGAAACCATATCAACCCATTTAAACCCAATTCTCACCACACCTCTGCACCCATTCCAGCCCACCTTGCAGGTCCGGCGTCCTCTCAGCCTTGGTCTTGTTCAGCCGGTTCACCACCTCATTAAGCCGCTTCTCCACACGCACGCTGCGCACCGCCTTGGGGTTGTGGAATCCGATCTGTTAAGGAGTGGGGTGTGGTGTAAAAAGATGTATCACCACCACCTCCTTAAGTCGCTTCTCCACACGCACGCTGCGCACCGCCTTGGGGTTGTGGAATCCAATCTGTTAAGGAGTGGGGTGTGGTGTAAAAAGTTGTATCACCACCACCTCCTTAAGTCACTTCTCCACACGCACGCTGCGCACTGCCTTGGGGTTGTGGAACCCAATCTGTTGGCGAGTAAAGTTCATATGGGGGATGGGGTGTATCAATTGGCGATTACTAGTTTCACAAACCACAGTCTCCTTGCGTTGTGGAAGTTTCAATATGTGAAGTTTCAAGTGGGTCGGGGTTTCGGGTTTGGGTGGGTTAAAGGTTGGGGTTTGGGAACATCGCCAAGGCCGAAACGAGGAGCTGAACCCTAACACACAACACAAAACACCACCTTCCTTGGGGTTGGAAAGGCTAATTCGTTGGAAAGAATCATGTGTATATAGGGGATGGGGTGTAGCACTGGCCAGTACACTCATTCAACACCACCTCTCATTGCCTCCCTTCTCCACATCTCACCTACCCCGCATCCCCCCTGCCCCATACATCATCCTCCCTTCTCCACATCTCACCTACCCCACATCCCCCCTGCCCCATACATCATCCTCCCTTCTCCACATCTCACCTTCTCCACATCTCACCAGCCCCACGTCTCACCTGCCCAACATCCCACCTGCCCCACGTCTCATCTCCCCCACGTCCCACCCATGCCACATCCCACCTGCCCAACAACCCACCCGCCCCACGACTCACCCACCCCACATCCCACCTGCCCCACATCCCTCTCCCCACCCCCCCACTCCCCCAAACCCCCGCCCCACGTCTCACCCACCCCACATCCCACCTGCCCCACATCCCACCTGCCCCAAATCCCACCTGCCCCACATCCCACCTGCCTCACATCCCACCTGCCCCACATCCCACCTTAGTGGCAAAAGACGCGTCCTGCGTCTAGGACGCTTGCGTCCAGACGCAGCATCTTAGACGCAGGACGCTAGATGAGGGCCTTTAGGACGCATAACCGGGCAGGGCAAAAAAAACCCCCGGGCAGCTGTAAAAAAAAGTTATAGGGCTAGGGAAGGGGGGGGGGACCTTTGCACACATTCAATGCAAATGCAAAATCAAGATTCATGTGAGTCACAACAATTATCTCAAGGTCACACTTAATCCAAGCAAGGATGCAACAAGGCAACAGATGTAGAGTGGTTGGGTGGGTTGGGTTGGGGGCTTTACAAATTTGTGTAGAGGGGTTTGAAGTTGGGGGGGGGGGCTGTTTTCAATGTCGAGTTGCTTTTGGGGGGTCGTTTTTTTCGCGAAATTGACATTCGCGTCGAATTCGCGAATGGCGATTTCGCGTTTCGAAACTTTTTTTTTACGGGGCAGACCAAAAAAAAAACAGGGTGCGTCCTGCGTCTCTGCGTCCGGACGCTGCGTCCAGACGCAGGACGCAGCAGGACGCGTGCGTCTTTTGCCACTAAGCATCCCACCTGTCCAACGTCCATGGAAGCTGCCTTTCGGAGGTTGGCCCAGGGCGTGTACACCACGTCAATGTTGTTCAGCTTGTTGCCTGCAGGTGCGGTGGGGGGGGTGAGGGGAAGAGAGGACAGGCGTGCAGACAGGGATATCTCTAAGCAGCTAGACGCCATGCTATTGTGAAGTTGATTTCGCGTAGACTGACGCCATAGTGCATGGATGGATGACGTCCCATCTAAGAAGAAGTGACGTCCCATCTAGTGCAATTTCCAATTCCTTGCGGTCACGACCAACCACTCGCTCGAAACCGCTCTGAATGAACCCACCCATGATGGAGGCCTTAACCAGGAGCGTGCATTTCTCCAGGCTCCAGCATCTCAAGGAGGGACCACACGATGAGCCATGCCCTTGCCCTCTCCATCCCTCCAGAACTCCACTCCGTTACCCCTTTACCACTCCCAACCCAGCCCCACCCCTGCAAACCGCTCTGAATCCACCCATGCATGATGGAGTGGAGCTGACCTTCACCAGTTGCCTTGCCGGTCCACCCACCCACCCCTCTCAACCACTACCAAGCGCTTCTTCCCAACCCCTCCCTCAGAAATCCGCCCCTCAACCACTCTATCCGTTCCCCAACCACTGGGAACCGCTCTGAACCCACCCATGATGGAGTTGGCCTTGACCAGCTGTGCGCAATCCTTCAGCATCTCAGGGACCACACGAGACATGCACCACTACCCTGTCTGTCCCCCGAAAGATACATACACTCCACCCCCTCACATCCCAGCCAAAGCACTCCAACCGCTCTGAACCCACCCATGATGGAGTTGGCCTTGACCAGCTGCGCGCAGTCCTCCAGCATCTCGGGCGTGACGTCATCAATGCCCTGCCCCTTGCGCAGCCGCAGGTACACGTGTGCGGACGAGAGCTTGTCCACGTGGAACCTTCACATAAAGGAGGGGGAGGAGGGCGGGAAATGAGGGCGGAAAATGAGGCTGAGTGGTGGGGAGAGGAAGGGGAAGGAGACGACAGCTTGTGTGCACGTGCGCGGACGAGAGCTTGTCCACGTGGAACCTTCACAGAAGCAGAGAAAACGGGTTGTGGGTGGGGAGGGGAAGGGAGGTGGGTTGTTGGGGTGCGGGGTGGGGGTAGGGGAAGGTGAATTAGAAGGAGAAAAAGGGGACGTAAGGGGGTCGGACCTGGGTAACTTGACAAGACACCGCTCTGTACAACTGTAAGTCCACGTGGAACCCTCATAAGAGTTGTGCAGAGAGCACACGTGGAGCACACGCACACGCACCTCCCATTCCCCCCTTCCACCCCCTCTCCCCGCACACACGCACACGCACCTTCTTCTTCTCTCCAACCCCCAATCATCGCAAACCCTACTTGCGGACTTTTCCCGACGTCTCAGAACCAGAGGGTGCAGGTGATGCTGCTAGCTACTGATTTTGAGGCACCTCGGCCGCTAGCGCACACTCAATGAATGCAGGACTTTCCGTTACGAACAGCTCCGATACGCACCACACGCCTTCCGACAAGGCGCATTTGGCGAGCTGCTCAGGTTTCGAACTTACTCACGTCCATGCGAACCCATGAGCGGTTTTGTCGTCGCTCAACCTTGAAACACAAATGCTTCGTTACATGCATCTTCGGTACGGACAATATCTTCCTCCCAGAAAGCCACAACTGACGAGAAAGCTTATCGAGACCCCCACAACTCCCGTTGGACTAGAATCCCCGTTATAGACAGATTTGACGCACCATATGTCCTCCGGAAAGCCGTATTTGATGAGCTGCTCGTTTTCGAACTTATCGAGTCCCATGTAGATGGTGAGGTCGCCCGCTTCGGGTCGCACTTTGAAGTAAAACACCATCGCGACGAACGCAAACCGCTGACGTGGCAATCACGGGGTCAAGGCCTTTCCAAGTCCGCACAACGAAGATGCTTCTAACGAAGCTCCTATGCACAGGGGGGGAGTTCGATCGAGGGAGGTGATCGAAGGCAGTACGAAAACGATTCGTTATAACAGATGCGTGTTGGTCTCGTGATATGATACAACGCTGAAGCAGAACCCAGCAGAGCGTCGACCACTAAACTACATACTAAGAATGTCAGCCGAGAGGCACGATGTCGCTCCGCGTGTCGGGCAGCGAATTCAGAAAGTGAGAACGCGGCGCGGCCGGAGCCAGCCTGTTTCGTAGAGCCCTAGGCTAGAGATTCTCAGTAATTGGTTGACTAGGGTTTAGGTAGAGGACACTACTCGTTACAATGTGCTGCAATAAGTAAAATGAGGACAGATTTGCAAAAACAAAAAGCTGGACATAACTGCTTCTGCAGGATTCAGGCGTGACCGCACAAAGCTGTTTATGAACCTTTTTGCGTTCGTGTACCGTAATACTGACCTAGAGATCGCATTACAATCTCTGAACGCCGCGACCAATCTTGAGGAGCAAGTTACCAGAAACAAGTAACATGCAAACCCCAGTTTCATCTGCACAGATATCATGATATAAACCACGCCCTAATGCCTTCTTGCCAACGCACTCTATCGAGCGTGATAGAAGCAAGGCTGCACAAGTGATCGGTTTTCAGCACAGCATTTGATCATTCGAAGCACAATCCCTTCTAGCATTCAGTTAGTCGTGTCTCGGATTTTAGAGCCAGGCTTGAGAGCAGAACGTCAGCAGGTTGGCGCAAGTCCCCGTTATTTTTTAATTACACCAGGGAAACGCGTCCATGCGTCCAAGGACTGCAATCGAAGTCGTAGAAGCCAGGGATTGTATTATCGGTTGGTGGTGTTCGTCATCGTCACTCGTTCAAGCAGGCGACTTGGTAGAAATTGCACCAATTAAAAGCCGTTTTTCTCTGGTGTGATCCGAGCGCTCTTTACTTCGATCTGGTCCGTCCGTTTTTCGATAAATACCATGGGAACTCCCGAGGGAGATGATGGGAATGACGTGGCATATCAGCCAGCGGATGTTGCTGATGACGTGGGAGAAGTAAAAGAAACGGAAGGCGGTGATTTGCCGGCGAAGGAAGATGATAAGAGTAAGAAGGACAGAGAAAGGAGGAAAAGCAGGGATAAGGTTCGGGAAAAGGATCGGGATAAGGATCGGGATAAGGGTCGGGATAAGGATCGAGGCGATAAGGAAAAGGAGCGGTCAGAAAGGCACAAGGACAGGAAATCCAAGGAGAAAGGCAAGGAGAAGGAGAAGGAGAAGGAGAAGGAGAAGGAGAAGGAGGAGAGGAAACGAGAGAAGAAGGATGAAGTGAAAGGTACTGCATTGGCGGAGGTTGGTAAGGAGGAGGAGGGAGGGGAAGGAGAGGCAGGAGAGGAGGGAGAGTTGAAGGAGGAGGGAGAAGCAGGGGAGGCGAAAGGCAGGGGAATGGAGGACACGGATAAGACTAGGGGTAAGGAGAAGGAGAAAGAAAGGGAGAAGGAGAAAGAGAAATCGAAGGACAAGGAGAGGGACAGGAAGAGAGATAGGGAGAAAGAGGAGAAGCGGGAGAAGGACAAAGGCCGGGATAAGGAGAAGGAGAGGGGAAGGGACAAGGATAAGCATAAGGAGAAGGAGAAGGATAAAGAGAAGGCGAAGGATAAGGAGAAGGAGAAGGGGGACAGAGACAGGAGCAGGGACCGCGAGAAAGAGAGACATAAGGAGAAGGACCGAGGCGCAGCAAAGGATAACGACGTGCGTACTTTTGAGTCGACTCAAGAGAAAGAGAGACACAAGGAGAAGGACCGAGGCGCAGCGAAAAATAAAGACGTGCGGAAAAAATCGCCCGAAGCGGACCGTCCCTCCCGCCGAAGACGTTCCCGCAGCCGCTCCCGCTCCCCCCGCCTCCTCCGCTCCCGCTCGCGCTCCGCCTCTCCCGCGCGCGCCGGCGGAAGGCGCGCGGGGGAGTTCGCGGGCGCGCGCGGGCACGGGAAAGGCGGGCTCGCGCGCAGGGGGGCCGAGCGGCGCCCGCGCCACCACCGATCGCGATCGCGATCGCGCAGCAGATCTAGATCTCGCTCCGATTCACCGAGCCTCGCCTTGTCCAGATCGCGATCGCGTTCGAGATCGCCGAATCAAGAGGAGCGCGTACGGCGGGCGCGGGAGGAGAGGGAGCGGGACGCTATGGAAAGGTCCCCGTCTCCGGGGGAGAAGGCGCGGAGGCGGCGGGAGGAGCGGGAGCGGGATCGCCTTGAGCGGAGCGGATCCGAGGGGGAGGAGGATGGGCGGAGAGGGGGGGCGTTTGAGGGTGGAAGGGAAGGGGAGGAGGTGGGAACGCGGGGGGGATGGGAGAGGGGGGGAATGGGATTGGAAGGCGACGCGTCTCGTGATGCTGGGGGTGGGTATTACGGTGGTAGTGGGGTGTATGGTGCGGTGGGCGGTGGTGCGTATGGTGTGGGAGGGGATGTGGAAATGACAGCTGCGGATGCATCACTGAGTGGTCACGGTGATGCTGCTGCTGCTGCCGCTGGTGCAGCTGGTGCCGCCGCTGCTGCTGGTGGTGGTGCTCCTTCTGTGCTGCCCCCTATGCCGCCCCTGCCACCGCCTCCCCCACCCCCCATTGACCCCGAGGCGGAAATGAGGATGATGGAGATGATGGGCATTCCCGTGGACTTCAACACCACCAAGGTGAGCGCGTGAAGGGTAAAAATTAGACTTTCACGTCACTATGGTGCTTGTTAGGTATAGGGAATGCCGCCTTGCGGCCTCCCCCGCCCCCCATTGACCTCGAGGCGGAGATGAGGATGATGGAGATGATGGGCATTCCTATGGACTTCAACACCACCAAGGTGAGCGGGTGAAGGATCGGGTGCAGGTTAGGAGGGTGATGACACTGAGGGGAACCACCTTCTCCCCCGCCCCCCATTGATCCCGAGGCGGAGATGAGGATGATGCAGATGATGGGCATACCCATGGACTTCAACACCACCAAGGTGAGCGCGTGGAGGGTAAAAAGCAGACTTTCACATCAGCAAGGTGTTGATTTGATTTGGTCAAAGGCAGGCATGCCACCTTGCTGGCTCCCCGAGGCGGAAATGAGGATGATGGAGATGATGGGCATTCCCGTGGATTTCAACACCACCAAGGTGGAGTTTCGCATGAAGGGTGAAGAGAGGGTGAGGGGGTGGGGGGGCATTCCGATGGATTTCAACACCACCAAGGTGAGCGCATTATGGGTGAGGAAGGAGGGGGGTTTTTGGGTGAGGAGGTATAGAGGTGAAAGGCAACTGGTGGGCGTTCCCATGGACTTCCATACCACCAAGGTGAGCGGGTGGCGGATGGGGGGATGTTGGTATGGGTGAGGAGTGGTGGGTGGGACCTTTGAGCCGATGGGTGATGCAGTGCAGAATCTGCACTGCAGATGATGGGCGTTCCCACCCATGGACTTCAACACCACCAAGGTGAGCGAGTGATGAGGAGGTATAGGGCAACAAAGGGATGCTGCCTTAACGTCTCCCTCGGCCCCCATTGACCTAAGGCAGAGATGATGGGCGTTCCCATGGACTTCAACACCACCAAGGTGGGCAAGTGGCTGATGGGAGGGTGTTGGTATGGGTGAGGAGTGGTGGGAGTGACATCTGGCCCGATTGATGATGCAGATGATGGGCGTTCCCATGGACTTCAACACCATCAAGGTGGGCGCGTGGCGGGTGCATGACGGGTGAGAGGGGGGAAGGGGTGTTGGGTGAGTAGGTATAGAGGTGATTCGGCTGGCAGGTGATGGGGATCATTCCCGATGGTTATCATTCCCGATGGTTATCATTCTGAATGGTTATCATTCCCAATGGTTATCATTCCCAATGGTTATCATTCCCAATGGGGATCATTCCTTCCCGATGGGGATCATTCCTTCCCGATGGGGATCATTCCTTCCTGATGGATTTTAACACCACCAAGGTGAGCGAGTGAAGGGTGATAGGGAAGAGCGGGGGGGGGGGGGGGGCGGGGGGATGTTGGTTGAGGTGATGTTGGGTGAGGTGATGTTGGGTGAGGAGGCATAGAGGTGATGGGCATCCCCGTGGGCTTCTATACCATCAAGTAAGCGAGTGAGTGGGGAGGGAGAGAGGGGGAGAAGGTGGGCTGTGAGGGAATGTTGGGTGAGGAGGCATACGAGCGGGCGAGCGAATGAAGGGTGGAAAGGGGAGGGAAGGTGGGCTGTGAGGGAATGTTGGTTGAGGAGGCATACAAGTGAGCGAATGAAGGGTGAAAAAGGAGGGGGGGTGGGAGAAGAGGTGGGCTGTGAGGGAACGCTGGGTGAGGAGGCATACAAGTGATGGCATTTCCGTGGATTTCCACACCACCAAGGTGAGCGAGTGAATGGTGAGGAAGGAGGGGATATTGTGGTGACTCGAAAGGCAGATGATGGGCATCTGTATGGATTTCCAACTCCACCAAGGTGAGCGAGTGAAGGGTGGGGGGATGGAGGGTTGGTTGAGGAGATGTTGGGTTGGGTGAGGGGGATAAGGTGAGGCTTTATTTTACCAATCGAAAGGGCAAAGTATGGGCCGCACATGGGGTGCTCCCACATGGTGGGTGGGTGGGGGGTTCTGTTTGGCCGAGCGGTGTATTTTGAGGCGCCTCAAAAGCAGTGAGGTGTATTTTGAGGCGCCTCAAAAGCAGTGAGGTGTATTTTGAGGCGCCTCAAAAGCAGTGAGGTGTATTTTGAGGCACCTCAAAAGGGCAGAGTATGGGCCGCACATGGGGTGCACCCACATGGTGGGTGAGGGGTTCTATTTGGCCGAGCGGAGGGTAGGAGGAGGGTGCTGAGTTGGGTGAGACGGTAGAGGTTGTTAAGGGGGCATGAGTTGAGGGGTAATAGAGGTGTTTCGACGCGGTCAAGTGGGCATGCGTTCATGGGCAGGGGCTTTAAGGCGCCTCAAAGCATGAAAAGGAGCTGGGGTTGATGGGCATAACCACGGAGAGATTGTAAGAAGAAGTTATTTTATGAAGACTCACAGCTCGCAGGAGGGGATATAGGTTGTGGGAGGGAATTTATTAGCCACACAGTCTGTTTCATTGTTTTTTACCTCAACCTCCCTGTGTTAGGCAAACAGAGGGTACCAGACTTGCCTAGTGCTCTCTCCATTCCCAGTTCTCACACTTTCTGTCCTTGTTCATGTGCCCAATTCGGTATCTGCTACACACTTTTGAGGCGCCTCAAAAGCGTCTCCATTCCTTGTTCTCGCACTTTTTGTCATGGTATGTGCTACACATTGGCAGGGCAAGGAGGTGAAGGGAGCCAATCAGCTTAGCGCTGTGAAGCTGTCCACTAAGAGGCAGCCACGTCAGTACATGAACAGAAGAGGTGCGCTGGATAGGAGGGATCATGCGTGGGTGGGATGTAATAGATATGTCTTGACAGACAGGACCCGCTTCCGTTTGACCGACTATGCTTGTAGTTTCGCACTGGTCAACTCTGGCTGCTGCCTTTTCACTGTTTTACCTGCCCTTTTCTTGGATTTTTGCAGGTGGCTTCAATCGTCCATTGCCAGCCGAAGTTAATCGTTGACGAGGCTTTATTCGAGCCTGTTTTCTCACTAAAGATATTACAATATAAAACTCCTTCGGAAAATGGGAATGAAGGGCCTACACATCTGAAGGTCAGACTTTCATATTTGTTTGTTCCTTTGCATTCTCAAGGCTTTGTTGTTTCTAACGTACAGTAATGAATGCTCAAGAACTGGCTGTCGGATTTAATGAACTGTAGGCGTTTGCACAAATCCCAAAAAGTCGAGCGTCGCGCTTTATCCCCGTCACACCCTCGATGCACCGCGCGTCTCCACGTGTTGTGCCATCTGGGACCCCATCCATCACCACGCTCCCTGCCACGCACGCTGGCAGAGTCGACGTTCCGCCATTTCCCCGCTTTCGCTGCGGGCAGCTCCCTCCGCTGTGCTATCTCCCTATGCAGTTGCCTTCAAACACCGCGTGGTAATAAACGATACCGTCTCTACAGGTGCACAACCGAGATGTACCGTTGAAAACAGACAAAGCATGTTTTGGGCGTAGCCCATCACAGAACACACTCCACCTATTCCTGTGCCCTAGCAACTAGGTTGCAGGACCTTCTATACCCCATACCTAATTAGGAGGAGGCGCTGCTGCTGTGTGGTGCTGTCCCTAAGCCTAGGCGCGGACCAGCTGTATTTTTCTTAGTTCCCGTTGTCGAAATATAAGGGCTTTGTCCAACCATGGCTTCCGCTGCACAGCTCAGCTCAGCTGCTCTCAGAATCCCAGAGAGGTCCGTCTATGGCGGCTCGTTCGCCACATTCTCGGGATTGTCGGCTGAGAAGACGTTCGCGGCTCGCATGACCGTCAGTGTGCAAGGTAGAACGAACGGCTAACGAAGAGGACAGCAGGCATAGTTTCAAGTACATACTTACGAAGCATTGGGCTTCAAGCATGCCTTTTAAGAAACAGTCAGTGGGTTCTTATTTTTGGGAACGACATATGTAGGGAGCGTCATTTCTCATCAGTTTTTTAAACGACAGCCATTGGAGTTTAAAGTGAAAGCGTCATTTCTCATCTGTTCAGGTCAAACCAGCCACTCAGCTCTGCTAGTGGAAGCCAGGGAGGCAACCCGGAGAGAGAAGGTCAAGAACCGTCACATGCGGATCCGCAAAAAGGTACAAGCTCGTGGGTGGCGAAATGCGCGTGATATCAGGTGTTTTATGGATAACTGCAGACGTGGATTGGTTGACAAGGGATTTCAGAACCGGGGGAGTAATTAACGTGATCGTAGAATGGGGATAAACGATTCAAAAGCTTGCGTCTTCGCTCTCACAACCGCGGCGGAACTTCGATCGCAGTCCTGTCTAGCCTTTCTGTTGCAATAACACTGATTTCCGTTGCAGAAACTACCTTCCTTTTTTGTTTCGCGTTTGCGGACGTATGCGGTCTCTAGACTCCTCGCTCGACGTGAAGCGTAGCGTCTGGCGTTAGAGTCCCTAAGTGGGTACTTCAGGCACAAGTCTTAGAGCCATCTGGAAATTCCCGTGATCCAAAACAGCTTCTTAGCTGGCTCAAAGGCGCCTTAGGTTGGGTAGCTCCAAAACAGAGCGGACTGTAGATGCGAGTGACTATAGCGAAGACTGCGCTCAGTTGGTTGGCATATACGTGGGTACCGTTGATCATCGAACATCTGAACTCGAATCAGAGTATTTTCGAGCAGGAAGAGGGAGCATTATGACAGGTTCTGTGCATTGCCCTCCTCTTTATCGTCCAGCCTGTAGCACCCAGTCGTGACCACCCAGTCTTGACCACCCAGCCTGCAGCACCCGGCCTGTAGCACCCAGCACAGCAGCTTCGCAAACTTCCAACATTTTTTACCTCCCTCTTTCTTCCCGCCTGCCCTCCCGCAGTTGAATGGCACCACCGAGAGGCCACGCCTCGCTGTCTTCCGCTCCAACAACCACATTTACGCCCAGGTCCGTGCTGAGTCGCTGGTCGGGGTCCGTGCTGAGTCGCTGGTCGGGGTCCGTGCTGAGTCGCAGACGTCAGTCAGCAGCACACTCTCGCCGCTCGCGTGTTCACGTCCCCTTGCCAACACCTCCGCTGCCTTTCTTCCCTTCTAACAGTCTTCCGTGTCCCTGCCTTCCTCGCAAGCAGGTGGTAGACGACTCCAAGCAGCACACTCAAGTGTTGACGTCCCCTTGCATTCACCGCAGCCGTGATTCTTAACATCCTCCCACTGTCTCCCTTGTGTACCCCACAATCCCCGCAAGCAGGTGGTTGACGACACCAAGCAGCACACTCTCGCCGCCGCCTCCACCCTCACACCCGCCCTCCGCGAGGAGCTGAAACTCACCGCAGGCCCCACTGTGGTATGTGCATAACCTGGTCTGACAGTACTCAACCCGAACTGATACTGACTCGCCCTAACTTAGTTTCACACACACCACCCCCACTGTGATCAGCGTCCACCCTCACACCCGCCCTCCGCGAGGAGCTGAAGCTCACGTCCGGCCCCACTGTGGTACGTACGTGCACAGCATAGTCGAAGAGCACCTAACTGCATTCAACCGTACTGACTCACGGAGTCTCAGTTTTACTCACGCCAGCCCCACTGCGGTCAAATTTCCCTCTCACGCCCGCCCTCTGCGAGGAGCTGAAGCTCACTTCCGCCCACTGTGGTACGTGCATAACTTAGTCCGACTCAACTCCATTTCACCCTACTGACTCACGGAGTCTCAGTTTCACTCAAGTTTCAAAAATACGGTCGTTTTTTTTAAATTGCTCTACGATTTCTCACAGGAGCCTATTATACGAAACCGTTTTTTACCGTAACTTTTCAAAAAAACGACCGTATTTTTTAACCTTGGTTTCACTCACGCCAGCCGCGGTGAGTTCAGTGTGCAACCACCCACACACCCGTCCTCCACACGAGGAGCATTGTGGTCAGCACAACGCTCATCGCAGGCGGGGGCACTGTGTGGTACGTGCGTAACTTTGCTTCAGTTGTGCGTTACTCACTGAACTGTACTGTGTTCCAGCCAACAAGAAATGAGAGGAATGAGAGTGTTCCACCAATGCACAAGTGGCGTGCAGATGTGTGGATGGTGCATGAGAGGGCGGGCTTGAGTTTGTGGTTCATGTAATCCTAGCAATCTGTGATGCCGTGCCTTGGATGGCCTGATACACTGGGGGGGTATTCTTGTTCGGTGGAGTAGGTTTGAATGGGAATGCCAGGGAGCGCTGTGCTGATGAAGGTGAAGGTGAGTTCTGGTCTGGATTGCCGAACAGTTCAACCCTAATCCCTCCTTTTCCCCTTTTTCCACGTTTTAACTCTCTGTGATCCAATTCCCATCCTGTCCATTTCCGTTTTCTATCCAATGCAGGAGGCATCGCGGCGTGTGGGACAGGAGATTGCTAAGATCTGCTTGGAGAGGGGAATCAGCAAGGTGGCCTTTGACCGTGGGGGTTTCGTGTACCACGGCCGCATCCAGGCTCTTGCGGACGGTGCTCGTGAGGGCGGCCTTGAGTTTTAAAACCTTGTTGTGAATGAGCTTTCGATGTAATGTGAACGGCTTGCAGTTTTATTCATACAGGGGAGCCAATGTCCACTTGAAAGTAACGCATGGAAAGTTTCCAGATTGAAAATGGAAATGAAGAAACTTGATACAATCTGAACCGTCTTATACCGTAGGATCGTCTCAGGTTGATCGCACGGAGTGTAGCAGCGGAAGATTGCTAGGTAATGTCGGGTACGGACTCTGTCAGTAGAAGGAGATTTGAATCTCGACAGAATTGACTATTACAATGTGGTACAGGGGTTTATATAGGAATACAGTGGAATACGAAAGGTCCTAGCTAGCCATGTACTCTGAGGGAGTACATTCCCCTTATGGCTAATCTAGATGCAGCATCGCAACCGTGCGGTTCGGTAACCGTACGCGGTCCGGTAACCGTTTGAACATTTCCCGCGCTTTGCACTTCAAATTCTTCCTGCTTGTAACTGTCTCGATAACTGTCTCGTCACTTGGTCTTTCGTCCTCGCTGCAGTCATCTTCGCGTTAAGGATTTGTTACTCATGAATGTTTATTCAACTGTTCCATATCGTAACACCCCCCTAATTCCTGGAGGAGCGAAGTCTTGACGCGCTTGGTTATTGTCAAAGTAGGCTCATAACTCACACCTAGGGTTTAGCTAGGAAGAGTGAGTATGGAGAGAATAGTTTGGCCAAAGGAGGGTTTGCACTATGGAGTGACAAGTACAAATAGGCAAGAACAATGGTGCACCACCAACAATGAAATAAACTACACTACTGTTAATGCTAAAGGGCAGTTGATATAAAACGCAGTTTCAACACACCCCCTAAACTGCCCTTAGCAATAACCAGTGTGAACAACACCAACTGAATGGGTACACCATAGCAGGTGCAGCAGGTTGCTGCGGTGACAGATGTGGCGTCACCAGGTGCAGCGGCGGCAGCTGGACTTCAATCCCGCCACCCCTTCACCCTCTTACCCCACAGCAGCAGGTGTGGCAGAAGGAGAGAGGCTGGGGGGGGGGGGCGGCTGCTGCTGAAACTTATCCGCCACCCTTTCACCCTCCCCTCGACAGCAGCAGGTGCAGCCGTGAGAGAGGGGAGGCGGGCTGGCGCTGAAGGTGCAACCACTCCCTCATACCCTCCCCCCCCCCCCCTCAGCACCAGCCGCTGCAGGGACAGAGAGGAGAGCAGGGAGGCCGAGTCACCCACCCCCGCCTCCCCCACTCTCGGGCACCACCCCACCAGGCCCCACGTTTTCAGAGT